CCTAAGGGGAAAGCTGTGAATAATTGAAATAGTCATAAAACTGGGTTGAGTATTAGGATTGTATAAAAATAAAGCACCTTCCCATAAATTGCTCTGGGAATGGTTTTTCCATTCAGGAAAAGCAATTTCATCCCAAGTTGGACGAAGCATAAGAAGGGGCCTCCTAGGAGTCAGCAGCTATGACATGTGTCTTAGAAGCTGGAAAGTGGAAATTTAACACTCCTATTCTGATTTTTGCAAACTTTTATGAAGAAAGACAAAAACTACAGCAGTGAGCAGGCTGGGGATAGCAAGCTTCCTTGTGTCAGAGGGATAATGTTGAAATGTTGGGAGAAAATACTGGGAGTAGGGCCAGACAGAGCAAGGTGAAGGAGTGAACTGGGTCGTAACCCTACTTCCCTCCATCTCTTCCCATTGCTCCTCTTCCTCTTGTGGAGCTGAAGATGGGGCCTTGCTCCTAACCAAATTCTCATGCCCAGTCCTTTGGGGTTCTACTTTACCTAATGAACCTGTGTGTTAGGTACCCCCTCCGTTCACCTGCTTATAATTCTTCCTGTCCTGGTGAAGCCCCTTGTCATCAACATCTCAATTTGTTTTCTGTTTTGGTTTTGCCTAGTTCAGCAGTCCTGTGGGCCATCTGTACTACAATCATTGGCATGCTGGTTAACATACAGACTCCTTGGCCTAGGGTGTGATCTACCAAATCAAGCTCTCTGGGGATGAGGCCAGGAATCCAGACCCTGGCAAACCCCCTAAATGAACTAAGCCCATTTGGATTTGAAAACCATTGACTTGGTTCCTCCAGTTTTCAACTTGTTAGTTCCTTTGCTTGGGTTCTGAGCTAACTTTCTTTTCTGTCTACCAAGCCTGTGGGCAACCTTTTAGGTAATGTTCTAGTCCATCTGGGCCCCAGGACACCGTCAGCTTGTGTATTTTCAGGGACAACTTACAGGTCCTCTCTTCCCTGCTCCCTATGCCTCTAGCACCTAGGTGAACCTGGCCTTGGGGGCAGGTCTTGGATCCCTAAGTTTCTAGTTGTAAAACTAAGCTCTTATCCTTCCAAGTGATGTTTTTCTTTCTAAAAGAAGGCTTTATTTTCCAAAGAAATGCATATCTGGAGAATTTTATGTACCCAAGATTAAATGTGCCAAGATTAATTTCAGGGGGAAATCCTTGATGAGGCTTTTCAAATCAAAGTTAGGCTGTACATCCTGCCTAATTAGAAGAATTCCTACAAAGACTACGAGGACAATGCACCCTTTGAAATATTTTTGATGATATAATTGAGCTCTGAAAATGTGCTGCTTGGAAACAGCACCTCCTGAACTCCCTTCCTGGTGGGATATTTGGGGAGATCACACTGGCCTGGGCTATACCATACCTTTAAGAGAAGGATGGAGGTCCAGGGTGGAAGAGTAAAGGAGACTGCAGAGGGTCTTGCTGAAGACCTTGGGCTTTGGAATTGCCCAAGGAATCTCATCACTGAGGCTCCGTGCTGGCAATGGGATCTCAGACAAAATACTTCAACCATGCCCCGTTGTTCTCATATTGAATGAAGGACAGCAATAATGACTTCATGGCAGGTGAGGACTGGACTTGATAATGTGCATGAAGTGCTTTGCACAGAGGATCTGGATCATAATACCTGTGATCATTATATGGTTCTAACGTTCGAGGTGGGGAGAGGGAAGGAAGCCTTCTGTTTTTCTACTTTGGGGACTTCACGCTTTCCTGGAGTGCACTAATGCGGCTCTGCTTTCTCTAACATGTGCTTTTCCTCCATTAAAGACCTTGGTGATGTCTTACTCTCCGTCCTCTCTCCTACCCTATTTTGTATACAGATATAATGCAGGCAATAAGAACATGGAGTCCAAAGCCTGAGGGGAACATAGGGGGCTGTCTACCCAGAGTATAGCTGGGGTGGCTCTGAGTTCACTGCATGCTGTAAATCACCTCAGTGTCACCTTCTGCTCAGCTGCTTAAGTGCTGGGACTAAGGTAGGAGGAGCCCTGCTCTGAAAATCATCTCAATTTGGGAAAGTAAGTGAAAGTAGCACAGGGGATAAAGGGAAGGTGTGGGTGGGTACATGGGATGGGAGAGGAGGGATTTGGAGAGATGGGTAGAGGGAATTTGTGAATAGGGAGGAGTGAGTTCTCATTACCATACTCGCCTGGGCAGTTTGACTGCTATAGTAGACTGCCACAGATTGGATGGCTTAAACAACAGAAATGTATTTCTCATTAGTTCTGGAGGCTAGAAGTCCAAGATTAGGGAGTCAGCATGGCCAGTTTATGATCAGGGCCCTGGGACTCCTGGTTTATAGATAGTGATCTGCTTACCTTGCAGAATGAGAAGCCAGTTCTCTTGGGTATCTTCTTGCAAGAACACTTATCCCATCATAAAGTTTCCTTTCTCATGGCCTAATTACCTCCCCAAAGCCCCATATCCTAACATCATCCTTTTGAGAGTTAGGATTCCATCATGTGAAGTTGGCAGGTGGGAGACACACATGCAGTCCTTAATGCACAGTGGGGATAAAACCCAGAGGTTTCAGTGGGTAGAGTGTTAGGAGGACTCTACCCACTGAAGTTAGTGGCTTCTTGGGACAGGAGTAGTGTCCAATTAAAGAGTGGGGAACAAACAGAAACTGGAGCAAAAAGAAGGAAGGAAGGAAGGTAGGAAAGAAAGGAGACATGCACACAATGCAGAGAACAGGGGGTTAAATCTGAATGAAAACCTACGAAGCCAGCACAGCTAACATGCACAGGACAGTGATGGTCTGTTGACCCACGACTTCATGTCATTGCTCAGGTCCTTTGGTTACTTTTTCTTTTTTTTTTTTTTAGTTTTGGTAGACCTTTATTTTTAAAAATTTATTTATATGTGGTGCTGAGAATCGAATCAAGTGCACTACCGCTGAGCTCCAGCCCCAGCCCCAGTCACTTTTTCTTAATTAGCAATCTTTTCCTTTTGCAAGCTTTCCTGCTTGAGAAAAGCCAGGACCAAAGGCTTTATATTTTCACCCTTTATGTTGAAATCAGAGCTTCTGAGAAATGATGGCCTGTGGCCTCTTTCCCCTTCTCTGTTTACCCTCAACTGGGTAGAAATAAATGATGGTGTCTCAGAGCAGAGTCAGAGAAGCAAGTTCTATAATCACATGCTTCCTTTGCCATTGAAGATAAAGGTGAAGAACATTTCCTCTGTGCCCCGTCCTTACCCACCTCTACTGGGGCCATGACTAAGATACTGCTTTCAAGCTCCAGAGCTGAGGACATCCATCTACTCACCTATGCTCTCTTTACAAAAGTGATCTGAGGCAAACAGGTGTGACTCCCAAGGCTGAGCACCTTCAGTTGTATGCAAGTCACGTGTGCCCAGGAATAAATGAAAACGGCTTTGCATTTGGACGGGAATGTCTGTGCCCCATATCTTATATTATTTGTCAATCTATAACTAGGATGCAGTCTTTACTTAGCTAATAAGTACTTGTCTTTTCATGGAGTACAGTGAGCATACTCCCTCCTCATGAATTTGGTGTTTTTACTGCCACAGATGTCTTTGATGGTGTTCTACAGCTTTAACTCATCTGGGTGCATGCAATGAATTATGATTTTATTCCAAAGTTGTTTCTCATTCCCTGGCTGTCTGTTGGATCCTCCCAGGATTCATCTGCTTCTTACCGTGCTTGGAAGGTCTCTAGTATATTTGCCCCTCTCTCTATAAACAATTTAATGTCTCTCCTTTCCATTCTGAAGAATAGAGGGTTAATGATTTCTTCTGGGGAGATTCAGATTTAATTTTAATCCTCATTAAACACACGTGTGCACGTGCACACCCGTACATACACAATGTTTTACATACGCTTTGAGGGGATCTTGACTGGGGCTTGTGCATTCCTCCAAACTTATCCAGGGACTCCCACTTAAGATGCCTTAATATAAATATAAGCACCTTTATTTATTTCCAGTACTATGTCGGATAGCTGTATCTATGTTTTGCTCCAAGCCACTCTCCCAAAGCCTTTATAATCTTTGTCGCTGTGAGTCTGTTGTCACTTGTTCTCTGGATGGTGCCATCTGCAGGGTGAGGTGCTATAGGAGGAACAGGTGGCCGGGAATAGGAGGCAGTTTGCCAGGGCTCACAGTGATCACCTCTGATGTTTCGAATTTGCCAGGGTTTCCTGATGTGTTTTCAAACACAGAGGACTGGACTGAAGCTGGGGTAGCATTGTGCAGCTACGTGGCACTGATCTGCCTTCAGGAGAGAGTGGGTGTCGGGGAGTGCTTTCAGCTGACTGCTTCCAGCCACAGGGCTTCAGATCCACCAGAGTGTTCAAGAGCAAACCACCCTCCCCAGAGAGTTTCAGCCCCTGGCCAAGCCTGGCAGGGTGCTAGGCCTGGTTATTTCTGCCAATGTGGGAGTTCTCTCTGGGTAGTCTCTGCACACTGTTTCCCAGCTGAGGAGCTGCCCCACAATCTGGAGGCTCCTCCTGCTGCTTTTTCATAGGAGTTAGATCTGTGTAGCGATCTGAAAGTATTTCCCTTGCCTGCTCCTGCTTCTTTTTGTTTTTATCCCTTATCTTCCCAGGTGATCTCCCCTGAGCCCACCCCACCCCAGCTAATCTCTTGCTCTTCCACTTCTGCCTTTGTGTCTGCTTCTTGGATTACCTGAACTGACTCAGCTCTGTTCCCAGGTGACATTGTTGATCACAAGTCATAATCCCACTTCACTTCCCAGACATCAGCCTGGAGCAAAGTTCCCAGAACTTGCCAACCCATTTCGTCACAGAATCTGGAGTTTCCTGGATGTTAGTTCCACCTTTGTAGCTATGCAGGTTATTATCAGCATCATCCTGTTCAGCCTCTTGTAGGGTGTTTCTGTTGCTTAGAGAAGAGACAAAGGCACGAGATGATCAAAAACATACTTTATTTTTTTATAGAGACTCTTTCCAGGATCCCAGGCTGGAAAACATGGAAACCTCAGGAATGACCCCTCTCCATTTATACACTTCTTCCCTAAAATCAGGCCAATGAGGTCAGCTCCTGAATCCCTTTTCCTGGGATCCCACTCAGTCCTATCTCTTAGCATTCTGGCGAGGGTTCAGGAGCATAAAGATTCTTGTTATCTAGTTCCTCCCCAAAAGGTCCCCCTCCCCACCACCAATTACTGTGAGTATATAATATACATCAGAGCTCCTCCCTGAGAAAGAATGATGACAGGGAGGAGATTGGCACAATACAGATAACACATCCACAGCAACTGGTTTCCACATTTTGGAAGTCACAAAGACGGACCTGTGATGTCTCCTATTCTATTACTACTGGACAGATACATCAAGCAAACATACTTAGGAGGTAAACATTTGGAGATAAACACAGGGTGACATGTGTCTATAATAAGAACGAGACCCATGCACAGTGCAAATCATGATGTTCCTCACACATGGGAACTGACAACATTTTTATAAGCTAAATGGATGTTGAAGAATGAGTTGATGGAAGGCTTGCTGGCACTTTGAGGGAATGTTTAACCTTACTGAAAGCTGCCCAAGTCTGTCTCACACTTCCTTTTATGCACAGTGATAACTCCATTCAATCACATCCCTTTAGATCCCCTGGATGGACTAGTGGTTCTCTTTGCAGTGATCTCAGGGAACTCTCATTGCAAAGGCTCTCTGAAGGCCACAGCCTTTGGCTCAGTTACCCATGGTAAGAATGGTTTTTAAAAATCCTGTGAAGAGTCTGCTTCCCAGATACCTCCATAAGCAGCCTGGACTCACTAGGACAGCTGAGCCAGGAATGGCAAGTCTGGGATAAGTCCCCTTAAGTGTGGAAGGAGCTGCATGTCCCCAGCTCAAGGCAAAATCCAGAGCAAGTGCTCAACAAATCATTGTTGAATTCAACTCCAACCTTCTCTCCTGTAGATGGGATGACCCCAACTCCTTGATACTTTTTTCTTAGGTACTTCTCATAATCATGTTCATCCTTTTCATCCACACAGGGCATGATTTTCCATTGGAAGCATGACTAGCTGCCTTTTGTTGCTCCTAAATCTTGCTTTCCGTTCATGGATCTGCATTGAGTTGGCTTTACTTAGTTTATTTAAATCTTCCCATGCTGCTTTGCAGAATATGTTCTCAGGTTTCTGGCTTCTGCTACTGATATACAACTAATTCTCCCCAGGCATGTCCATACCCTTGTAGAGTTAGAGCCAGCAGGGGTGGTGGAGGCTGTAAAACCTGTGGGTGGTATTATTCTCCTCTTCACATCATGAATGCAGCCAATGCACATCCATTATTCAAACCACAAGGGCATTCATGAATATTACATGAAGTTTCTGCTTCCAGACACATCTGGGCAGGATACAGAAATGCTCACCTGCTGGAGACCCCAAAGCTGCATTAGAACATGAAGCATTCAGCTCATGGCTCTTGTCCTTTAGGGTTGGTGGGTAATTCTATCTCTTATAGAGAGGAGACTAGCAAAGCTATGGGGGAGAAAGGAACATTCAGACAATGAAGAGAATGCAAGGTGCCCTCTTCCAGAAGCACAGTTGCAGGTGCAGCCTCCCTGCTCAATAGGCATCTGAGCCTGCACCTTATGCTAGCATAAAGTCACAAATTTGGGTTTGTGCCTCTGCCTCAGATACCAAAAGGCTAGACACAAAGCCCACTTGTTGTGTTGTTCTGAGCTGTGGAATTCAGCCCGCTAAAGCATGCTGGAAAGATACCGGCTTTGGCATGGACTCTTTTGCTCTGTCAAAGGCCAAAAACTTCCAGAATGAATGTACTCAGGGTTTTAGGATACCTGGAGAATGTCTGAGATGGATATTTACATGTTTTAGCAGTTGCTGCCTCTCTAGGAGCTGGGTATTAGTGCTTCTACTCTTTTTGAGATTACTATTTTTTTTTTTTGGTAAAATATACCAAACACTTATACAATCATTGAACCATGGCACATTAAGATTCAAAGTGACACTTAGATTATTTAGTTCAGCCCCATTGCTTTGCCAGTAAAGAAAGAGGCTCAGATAGATTAAGTCTGGCTGGGGTCTCTTGACCCTTGGTTGATATAGACCTTAGATGGCATCAGCTGACATATTCCGCCCACCATGGAAGCTCAGGATGGTCACCGGGGACACAGTGCAGAAGAAACTGAGGCTTTCAATCCTGTGACGTTCAAATGAACTTAAACATTGAGATGCCAATAGGGGCAGGCATAGGTCTTCTTTTCATGGGTGCTGAGAAGATGAGGTTAGATCTTTCATTATGTGGCGCCTTCTTTTGCTCATGCTGTGAAGTGAAGGCTAGAGTGATGTGAGCCATGAGCTGAGGGAGGCTAATCAGAGCTTGGCTGAGGACAACTTTGCTGGAGCAAGACAGAGGCGCCAGGCAAACAGTCCTGTTGGATCTGTTATTGCACTGCAGAATTCATCCTGAAATGAGCACCCACATGCAGTTGAAGTTATCTCTAGAATCATGGAATAAACTGGAAGGTAAAATCTAGTGCAATATTTTCATTTTACAGGCTCAGAGAAATTCAGATTTGCTTTGGGTCACACAGATGGGGGATGGCAAAGATGGAAGAATCCAGATTGACTTTAGGATGAAATGTCTTCCCTAAACCATCTGATTCTTCCCCCAAAGCTCTGATGTTCAGGTGTTTCTGATGGTTTCCAGATCAAGGAAATACCCATGCATGAGAGAGGCAGAACAAGGATGGTGGTGGCTGCCTTGCTAAGGGCCTGCCCTCTAGGACAGCATATTGGAGTAGAAGCTGAAGCTCTCTGTCATGGTCTTGGAGTTGCTGCGAGAGGAGCCATTGGAGTTCAGATCCAGGGATGAAGGTGTGGCCTTGGGGCCTTCCTCTGGCTCCTCCTCATGGACTCCTACCACTGTGGAGACAGTGGTCTCCAAGCGGCTGACCTTATACACGCTGCCCTGGGTCTGGAGGTACCGGGTAGATTTCATTTCCAGCCCCTCATAGTCGCCAGCCCTGATGAAGGGGCAGCACCGGAAGGCGTGCTTGAAGCCCAGACGGAACCTGGAAGGATAGCACATAAGGAGGTGACCCCATGGGGACAGACTGCTTTTCAAGGGGCTTCCCACCATTTCATCAGCTTCTCAACACAGGACACTCCCAAGTGTGACTGTATCTGATTATTTTGCAAGTTAATGAACATCTGGAGAGGCTGAGGCCAAAAAGATTTCAGGGTCAGCTAATAATGTTAAATCTAGGACCAGCACCCATGTTCATGTGCAATGTACGTCTTTATCCAGGGTGGTCCTTGAGCTATGTATGCTCCCTCTTCTGGTGTGGGGTCAGAAGACTTTGGGCCAATCCAACATCAACCTAAAACTCACCAGGTATTTACGGTGTGCACCATAGTAAGCTTACATCAAAGCACAATGCAAGACTCAGTCCTTTCCCTCTAGTAGGCCACTGACTGCCAGAGTCATGATCCTTGGTCATGTCCCTTCGGTATGCCTCAGTTCCTCTGTTTGCTAAACAGAGAGAATCCACCTTTATTTAATAATATGCAGGGAGATTTACTCTAAAAAATTTAGGCAGGTCATCAAGCTCTTAGAGGAAGGATGTTTCTGTGAGTTAGACTAACAGAGAACCATTTGGGCAAGTTTAAGAGAATGTCTTTCCTGCTCTCTGTGACCTGAGTGTCTCACTCAGAGAAGGCTTTTCCCAGGCTGGTGACTGATGGGTAGAAGGCATTTTGTTCCTTCTCTTCCTGTCTGCTCCCTTCCCTACACAGAGGCTGGGGTGGTGCCCTGGATGATGTCTAGCATCCTGACCCCTCTGGGAAGCCCTCTACAGGCCACAGTGCATTTCTTATTGCTGAGTGCCATTCCTGATGGGCTCTCCCTTCTCTTGCTTGTCTGAGGTTGGTTTATGCTGTGAGGATGGCTCCCCCAGGCCTTGTCTGATCAAGTGAGGGCAGGAATCAGGTCTCTGAGGCCCTGGCTTCTTTTTGCTTACCCTACCTGCTGGAAATGCTGGATGAAACCTGGGAAAGCTGCCCGGGCTGTAAACCGGGAGAGGATCCAGCTTACAGGCTTTGTTCACTTACACCAGTCACAAAGGTTTCTAATCCTATGTTGCCCCTCTTCCCCAGCTCAGTTACCAGTATTTAAAAATCAGAAGATCTCACACACAAATATAGATTTCTGGTTTCTCTTGAAAAAGAAAAGACAACCAGGCTATGCTGAGCTCACAGTCCTCTGCACGGCCTGTGAGCAGGGGCTGTACAGTGTGGTGGTTAGTTTGCTGCAGTCCATACCTCTCCCTCTTGTCTCTCCCTCTGTGCTCATGTAGCTGCTTGGTGGCTGGTGGCCCCTGGAGAGTGTGGGGAATGGGGTACTCACCTGTCATTGAGGCAGCAGTAGATAATGGGGTTGTACATGGTGGAGCTCATGGCCAGCCACATGATGGCCAGGTAGACCTGCTGGATGAACTTCTTCAGGTAGAGATCTGGGTTGATGTAGGGCAGCAGGAAGAAGATGTGGAAGGGCAGCCAGCAGATGGCGAAGGTACACACCACCACGATCATCATTTTGACCACCTGGTAAGAGGACCAGCAGGTGAGATGACATCCTCCTTCTCTCATGGCTGCTTTCCCTCTCCTCTCTCTCCTCACCACACATGGCGTGATATGGGGTGGGGGGGTATTTAGAACATTGCTTTACAAGGAGGAGAAAGGATCTTTAATGTCCAGCACTAAGGGACGTTGGTTATATGGGCAGTTCTCAGAGTATGGCCCCAGGACTGTCATTATCACCTTGACTGGGAACTTGTTAAACATACAAATTCCTGGTCCCACTTCAGACTTAGTGAACTGGAAACTCCAAGGCTGGGACCTGGAATTCCATGCTTGATAAATCCTTCAAATGATCCTGATGTACTCTTGCATTTGGGGACAGCTGTGTTATGTGACTCTTCTGGGAAAAGGCTGAAGCCAGGGGAGGTCATTTAACAAGCAAAGGTGAAGGGGTGTGCTGCAGAGAGGGCTAGGGAGGGAGTAGCAAAAGGTGGGCAAAGAGAGGAGCCATGGGCTTGGGCAGCTGCTGGGTCTGGAGACTGCAGGAGAGGGAGGGGAAGGGCAGCCAGGGTGCATCAGACGTTTAAAGGGGTTTAAAAGAAGGTCTTCTGAATTTTGTGTGCTGTGGTGTAAATGTTTGTGTCACCCCCAAATTCATGTGTTGAAATCCTAAGCCTCTAGGTGATGTAGTAGTAGGAGGGCCTTTGGAAGGTGATCAGACCTGAAGGACAGAGCCTTATGAATGAGAATCCTGAGAAACCCCCACCCCTCCGCCATGTGAGGACACCAGGTGAGGCACCTTCCACCAACCAGGAGCTGCCCTCATCAGACACCCCAGTGCTTTGCTAGTGGACTTCACAGCCTGTAGAGCTGTGACAATCCATTTCTGTTGTTTGTAAGTTTGCAGTCAAAAGTATTTTGTTATAGTGTCTCAAATGCACTAAGAATCTGGATGATATAAACTTCTTTTTATTCCCAAGAAATCTTCAGTGAAGAACACTACAGCATCCATAATGAAATACCATGCAAAGAAGAAATGAAGGGAGAGAACAGAAAGAGGAAGCTATTCATATACTGATTTTCAGATTCTTGTGAATTTTAAGTGAAAAATGTGACCACAGTATGTATTTACTATTGTCATAAAAAAGAGAAAATAGTATATCTTAATTTTATTTATAAATGCCAATATCTAGGAGGGTTAACAAGAAACAAACAATAGTGGTTACTATTGTGTGTATGTATGTTTATATGTATATGAATGGGTATATGTGTGTGTATGTGTATGAGTGTGTATGAGTACATGTGAGTGTATGGATGAGTGTGTGTATGAGTCTATGAGTATGTATGTGTGTGTATGAGGGTGAGTATGAGTCTATGAGTGTGTGAGTGTGTATGAGTGTGTGTTTGAGTGTGTATGAGTGTATATGTACATATGAAGAAAGGTGGCTCTCTTCCTCCCCTGGTCTGTTACCCAGACCCATGGCTATCTTATGCCTGCTGCCTCTGGGTGGCTCTGCTCACCAGCCTGTAGCCTGTGCCAGGATCGGTTAGGAGCTGTCTGCTCCTCACTCACCTTGCGCTTGGCAGAGACTTGCTCATGGTACCGGTCAGAGGAGTCCCCAGGGATCTCACTGGCCCACAGTGTGATCCCCACTACGGTGTATGCATAACCAATTACCAGCAGGGGGAGGAAGTAGATGAGCACAGTCACGCAGATGTGGTACCTGCAGTAAGATGGAGGACAGAGGTCAGCCGGAGAAATAATTGGTGGTTAAGGCTCTGCAGCCACCTTTTCTAACCTTTGCTATCAGTATGGCTGAGCTACCAGGCACACTGTGGAGAGGCAGGCACCTCAGAGTGAAAGGGTATAAACCAGAGAAAGCAAATCTCTTTGATTTATGCTTTTCTTGTGAACTTTTTCTATAATGGATATTCTTGTTCAGATTCAAAAGGGGAAAAATGTTGATAAGAAGGAACTGAATTCATATATACTTAGGACAGTTTTGGTCCATGCTAAGTTCAATATTACTTGCCCCACCCCACCTTCCAAGAAATATAAGAATGCAAATTTATGCTTCATGAATAGAAGTTTATTATCTAGAATAAAGGAGGTAATCGTACCACTCAATTCATATCTGTTAGACTACACTTATGCTCAATTTTACTTGGGATTTAGACCAACTATTATATTTAAATGAGATCTACCATAATGGTTCATGAGCTTCAATTTATTCTATGAGATATATGGATTCACAAATATCAGTATAATTAATTAGCTTGGGGGAGAGGATAAGACTAGTTCTAGTTCTAGAACTTGGATCCAGGAGGGAAAGCCACAAAGTGTAAGCCATTTCTAAGCCTGGCCTTCATGAATATATGTGCACAGGGAAGCTGGCTGGGTCTTTGAGTCACCACTTGGATGGCAAATATCAACTGACTCACATTTGATTGGGACCCAAGCAAGAAAAACAACAACAACAACAACAAAAACTCCAAACAAGTAAAAAAAAGCCCCCAAACCTTTCCAATGTTAAATTGCTGAGGTTGTGAGGTTTGTTATGGCAGCATAACTTAGCCTATTTTGTTTAAGGCAAGATTTCTTCTAAGTAGGAAACTCAGACAAGTTTTCTGAATGTTGAGGAAGAACATTTTTCTGAGGGGGTTCATTGGCTTGTGTATCTGGCTACAGCCTGTTCCCAGACGTGAGTGTAATCGTGAGGCAGTAGTAGTGGTATTACTAATGAAAACAGCTAATGTCTTGGGAGACTCACTCTAGGTCTCTGCTTTGGTTTGGATGTGGTTTGTTCTTCAAAACTTGTCATTCTTCGAGCTTGGCCCTTGGTGTGGTGGTTTTATATTGAGATGCTAGAAACTTTAGGCAGCGGAGCTTAGAGATTCTTTGGCCATGAGTGCTCTACCTTAAAAAATTAATTGATGCTATCTGAGACTAGGGCAGGTCTCCTGGGACTGGATTAGTTCCCTTGAGAAGGGTTGATAGAGGTCAGCCCAGTACCTGTCCCTAGTCTCTCTTCTATGCATGTTGCTTGCCACTCTCACATGCACCTCTGTCATTGTGATGGCATCTGCCATGAGGGCCTTGCCAAAGTTGACCAGATGCTGGTGCTGTGCCCTTGATCTTCCAGAGATATGAGCTAAATAGTGCTCTTTTTCTATAATGTATGCAGCGCTGGCATTTTGTTATAGCAACATAAAACAGACTAATACTGTCACTGTGCTAATAATAAACTTAATGACAGCATTAGTAGCAGAAGTGGTCGCTAGAGTTTGAATGTTCATAAATGGCACAATGCTAAGCATTTTATTTTCATTCTATTATTTAATCCTTAAAGCAAACAATTGGGTAGGTACTATCATAATTCCATTTTTTAGATGAAGAACAACATTTAGAATTTAATTAGTTTGTCCAAATTCACTACTGGTAATGGGATTGGCTGGGATCAGGATGCAGGTCTAAGACCCAAGAACCAGTTTCTTGTCACTGAGGAAAAGTTATCCGCAAATTCTTTTCTTCCATTCTAGTTACAGTCTATGTTAATTCTCTGCAATGATTTTCTTCCATAGGGAAAAATCCACTTATTCACTCAATTTCTCCCTCTTCCATACTACATTTGCTTTCATCGGTTCTTTGTAAGGCTCACTTATTTAGTCCCCTGTGAATATTAAAATCTGCAGTTTGAAGATACTTGAGGAGTTCTTAAGTAATAAGTCATTGATTCAGAAAAGCAGAGTGTGAGCTCATCTGCTCTGTGCAGACACCTGCTTCCACCCCAGCAGGCTCTTGAGGTCCCCTGGGTTTTTACCTCCACCAGAACCACTGGGTTCTCCAGTTACCACTTCAGTGATTGCATATGGTATTTCCCACCTGATCTCAGTCACTCCTTCAGGATACAGTGCTGACTGTGCTTGTGAGCACAGCCTTGAGAGAGACTGTAGGGTCAGGGAGAATCTGAGAACCTCCTAGATGTCCTCAAGATACCTCCCTATAAGAATGGCCCCATGTCATGCAGACTTGATACTTGGTCTGTGGCAAAACACGCTACCTGAGCTTCACCAGGCCACTGCCTTTAAGGTTTGAGTGTGATGAGCAATTGTCAGCTCAGGAGTGTGAAGGGAGGACATTGTAGTCAAGTTGGTGCTCCTCTCCCTACACCACATGTCCTTACAATCAGGCAGGTCCCAGAACCTCCTGGAAGTTACTGTGGGGTGACTCAGCTACCGTGGGGTGGGACTGAGAATCTTCATTTATAATACGTTCCCAGGACACAATGCTGCTGCTGTTTCTGGTTCAGACTCCGAAAAAGATTGTCCTGGACCAGTGTTTCTCAACCAAAAATGCACATGAAAACCACCAGAGGAGATTTTAAAATGATCAATGCCCAAAGGTGCTGGTTAAAAAATTCCTAAGTTATTTTAACAGATGGTTAGCATGGAGAACCACTGTTTCAGACCCTGGATCTGCAATACCAATGAGTCTTTTTGGGAGCCTCCTTGTTGTTTGTGATTGAATGAGTTCATTAAAGTGTTCATTAGAAACATTCATTTTGTGATGTATCTGATGCTTTGCACTGGGGGCCTTGCTGATCAGGCAGGGACTGCCCGCTCCCAGGTCTAGCTAATTCCTAGAGATAACAAATGACTCTCTTGGGAGTGTGCATTCCATATGCAAAATAACAATCTAAACCTTAAGCTTTATTGGGCTCTTACCTTGCAGAAAACTATTTGCCTGCCCTGATCATCCTGAAGCCAGATATCAGACAAGTAGGGTAGCTCCTCCATCCCAGAGCTGCTAAAATTATTCAAGCTGGTCAGTCTTAAACCTGCTCACTCTGCCTCACTAGTTCTTTCCTGAGAAGGTCCATGAAGTCTTTCTTTTTGGCATGGGACTGTGCACCTTCATCTTGGGTACTGTGAGTTATAAAGTATCTTCTTTTTTTGTGTGTGTGTGGTCCTGGGGATTGAACCCAGGGCCTTATGCATGCAAGGCAAGCACTCTACCAACTGAACTATATCTCCAGCCCATAAGGTATCTTCTTTTTTTTTTCTTAAAGATTTTTTTTTTTAGTTGTCAATGGACTTTTATTTTATTTATTTATATATGGTGCTGAGAATCGAACCCAGTGCCTCACGCATGCCAGGTAAGTGCACTACCACTGAGCTGCAACTACAGCCCCATAGAGTATCTTCTTAATGGCAATTGCATCCTGATATGTTGACCTCACCATACTTAAATACAAAATAAATTCTGCATTTTAAAACTATGAACACTGTGAGAACTCATAAATCAGACCATAGGAAAATGCTAAGATGAATCAGTAAATATAGCTTATCAACCTTTTAAATATAACTTATCTTCCTTTTTCAAAGAAAGAAAAGTCATTTTGTTATTTGGAATCAACAAAATATATGGATTTAATTTCAGCTAAAAAGTGTTCTATTCAGGTAGAGCAAGGCTTTCCCATCTCTAGTAGAGATAATTCAGAAGAGCATAAGAATAGTATACAGCAATTCTAGTTCTAGGTATAGACACAAAAGAAAAGAAAGTCTTGACTCCAACAAATGCATGCAAACCATTACTTACAATAGGTAAAAGGTGGAAACAGTCCAAATGTCCACCAGTAGATGAATAATAAGCTAAATGTGGTATATCCATACAATAGACTACTATTCAGCTTTATAAAAGAATGGAATTATTGTCTGTAATCCCAGCAACTTGGGAGGCTGAGGTAGGAAGATTGCAAGTTCAAAGCCAGTCTCAGCAACTTAGGAAGGCTCTAAGCAATTTAGGGAGATTCTGTCTCTAAATAAAATCTAAAAAGGGTTGGGGATGTGGCTCAGTAGCTAAGCACCCCTGGGTTCAATCTCTGTACAATGCTCCCCCTTGCCCCTGGCCCCGGCCAATACATAAAAGAATAGAATTCTGACATATAGATAAATCTTGCAAACATCATGCTAAGTGAGTAGGCCAGACACAATCCGACAAATACTGTGGGAGTCCACTTATATGAAATATGTCATGGAGATAGAAAGTAGATTAGAAGCTACCAGGGGCTGGGGAGAGTAGATAGGCGATACTATGTAATGGGTATAGATTTTCTGTTTGGGATGATGAAAAAGTTCCGGAAATGGTTAGTGGCGATCATTGTACAACATTGTGAGAGTCCTTATGCTTCTGAATTGTATGTTTTAACGTGGTTAAAGGGGTAGAGTTTATATTCTGTATTTTTATCACAATTAAAAAATATCATAAAAATATTTCAGCCTACCCAGGATCCCAGGTCTCCAAATTTGCAGGCTTTTCTACCCTTGGCTACTCCTCAACACAGCCCCTCACTCTGAAAAGGCAGACCTAATTCTTGGATGAGATTAAAATTTGAACACATGCTTCTAAATCTTTAAAAAAAACACATTAGTTTTTATTTTTTAACTTTAAAATTAAAAAAAAGTTTATTGGTGCATTATAATCATACATAATAGCAGGATTTGTTACATATATTTGTGCAGGTACATCCTCCTAAATCTTGCTCAGAAAAACCCCTATTACTTAGAAATTACAAACACTCAATCCAGTGTTCAAATGATCAAAAATTCTAAATGAATGTAAGTCAAATGCATGAAGTTCTGTCATTAGAAAAAAGGAAATAAATATATTTCTTTTACCTTCATACCCTTCTGGAAGAATTTTACCATATTCTGTATTTAATTG